GTCTCGAACCCGCGGGCTCAGGCAATCCACTCACCTCAGCCTCCCAAAGGCGCGGGATTACAGGCTGAGCCACCGAGCCCGGCTGACCTCTGTATTTCTAACCAAGTCACTTAGTAAGTCATAAGATGAACAAATTAAGTCAACAAAGGCCAGGCCCAGATCAATGATGACAACTTGCTGTGAGCCAGAGATTAGGACGAATTCTATCCTGTGGATCTCATGTCACTTAAAAATAATGCACAAAGCAAATTACTTCTTCCTTCATGTCAAGCATTCTGTCACCTCATGCCAATGCGAAGAAGGGGATACGGTCCCATTTTGCAGATGAGGAAACTGAGCCTTAGCGCCTCAGAGAAGTCAAATGAGTTAGCCGAGCTAATACACAGCGGCTTGGGACTGCCCCAGCCCTGTGATCCTGGCCAATTCTCTGCTCTGCCCAGGGAAGAGGGGCCCTCAGGGTGGCCCCAGGCTCTCAGCACCCACACCCTGCTTACTGGCACCAAGCTGGGCAGCATCTCTTCCTCGCCCACATCCTGCTCCGGGCCCTGGGGAGCTGTGGATGGCAGCTGCTCAGCCCGGAGTCCTTGGTTTTCCTCGTTCAGTCGTTTTACCTCGTGGCGCAGGCACTTGTGGGAGGCGACCAGTTCTGCCTGGGGACAGTTAGTACAAGGCTATGAGGGAACAGGGTGTCTGCAGCCCCTGTGAGGCCAAACCCTGACTCTTCCTCCCAGATGGACAGCCAGAGAACCCACACCCCCACCACTCTTGAGAAATGAAGGGCCAGGTATGGTGGTTCACGCCTGTAATCCTGGCACTTTGGGAGGCCAAGGAGGAAGGATTGCTTAAGCCCAGTAGTTTGAGACCAGCCTAAGCAACATAGTGAGACCTTGTCTCTATAAAATATTAAATAATTAACCAGGCATGGGGGTGAACGCCTATAGTCTGAGCTGCTTGGGAGGCTGAGACAGAAGGATCTCCTGAGCCCAGGAAGTCGAGCCTGTGGTGAGCCGTGATCAATCATGTCACTCTACTCCACCAGGGCAACAGAGTGAGACCCTAATATGCAAAAAAAAAAGAAAAAAGGCCAGGTGCAGTGGCTTCACACCTATAATTCCAGCACATTGGGAGGTCAAGGCGAGAGATTGCTTGAGCCCAGGAGTTTGAGACAAGCCTAAACAACATAGCAAGACCTTGTGTCTATAAAAAAATAATTTTTAAAAAATAAAGAGAGAAGAAGGAACCTCCTTCAACTGAGTGCCTTTGGCTACCAAGCTCATCAGACACTCTCTGTGACTCGGGTTCACACACGCAGCTCATCCACTAAGCTAGGCATTTATTTGGTTTATGTTTCCTTTAAACGTTCAAGTAATTGTCAACTCTTAAAATTGGGAGACAATACACGAATATCCAGGTATCTGGCTTCCCTTGAAAATTAGAAAATCTGGCGGCATGGAGCCTCGTTCGCGGGCAGCCACCGTCAGTGGAGCCAAGGAGCAGCAGGGTCCTCGCCATGGCCTCCTGTCACCAGGCTGCCTGCTGCTTCCTGTCCCACACCTAGCCACCTACATCCCCCCACACTCCCCCCCACCCCCCCACCCCCGGTCTGGGCAAGCACCTGATTTGCTTTGCTTCTAATCCTCATGACTGTAAACTAGGCCCCACTCTCTCAATGCAGCAGAAGGCGAGGTGGAGGTTCCGAGTCTGTGGGGTGAGCTTGAGATCACCAGCTCTGTATGGCTGCAGGACCCCTGCTCTGACCATAGTGCCAGAGCGCCTGAAACCCTCTCACGTGGCTGGCACCAATTCCTGCTCAGGTGAGGCCTGAGCAGCCGGGAGCAGGACAAGTGCCTGAATGTCCCACACCCCCTCACAACTAACTCCTGGCAGACTCCTCTCCCTCTTGCCCCAGCACCCTGATACTCACCATCTGCAGCTGAACCCGCTCCTGGGCCTGGCTCACGGTCCCCTGCAGGGTCCGCAGCAGCTGCTCTGAGTTCTGGACCTGGGCCAGGAGCACCTGCATCTGTGGGGGGAACGAGGGCAAAGGTGAGGTCACAGGGACTCCTAGGAGGTGACGGGCGTCCAGAGGCCCTGCTGGGGCTCGAACAGAGACGAGGCTCACCTGCTTGGCACAGTCCTCATTGCTCCGTCTCAGACCCTCTTGCAGCTCATCCCGCTCACGGCTGACGCTCTCCAGGTCCTTCTGCAGCTGCCGGCCCTGTCACATACCCTGACCTCAGTCCCCATCTCCAGGTGGCCCTCCCCACCACGCCATGCCCTGCACCCTGCCTCTGCAGGAATGCTGTGCCGTCACCCGCAGTCCCTCAGGCCACCAGCCCAGGAGCTGTTGTTCTTCCCTTCACACCCTGTCCCCCCATCAGCAGGCTGGGCCGGGCCCACCTCCAGCATGGCTCCAAATCCACCCACTGCTCGCCATTCTGCTGCCATCTCCTGGTCTTAGTCAACACCTTCTCTGGCGCTATCCTCCCTTCTCCTATGGCTCCTGCTCACCTCAGTCTCTCCCTACATGCAGGTCCAGGCGGCTCTCAAGGGAGGCCTCTCCCTGGCTTACCCCCTGAGGACACTTCCCACCTGCAGAGCTTCACGGCCCTCCCTGGAGGCCCAACTCGCGGGGCCTCAGCCTTCCTTCCTGATCTCCTCTCTCCTCCTTGGTGGCCCTCCTGCTCCTCTGACGCCGCCCTTAGGGTTTTGAACTTGCAGTTCCTTCTGCCCCCGACCTTGGAGAGCAACACCTTCCCACCATCCGGGTCCCAGCTGCCGCCTGAACCCAGGTCAGTCTCCTTGCTGCCGGTATGGTAACTGCACGCAATTCTGGGCATCTCCCCACAACACTGTCTTCCTCACGCGCCCACGGGCATGTTTCCAACTCCGCTTGCGAGGAGCGAGCGCCCAGGGCCTGGGAGCAGGCCTTACCAGGGAAGCACCAGGCGGCAGGAGGGACAGTGTGCGCGGGCGCTCCGCCCACTCCACTCACCTCCACCTGCAGCTGCTCCCACTGGGTGTCTGGGACAAGCTGGTAACCAGGGGGGGGCAGGTAGATGCCCTCGGGGACCAGGGTGCCCGTGGACACCAGAGAGGCT